ATTCGAGTGTCCCCCAAATGCCCCCTGTGCAAGCATGCATCCCCGCATCCACTCCGCCCCCCCCTGCACATGTGCAGCAGAGACCCAAACGCCAGCTGGCTGCCGGGAGGTGCGCGCGCATGCGTGGTGGAGCTGGGCTGGGGCGATGGCTGGGGGGCCCACAGAGAGGGCTCTGTGTGCCATCTGTGGCATGCGTGCCATAGGTTCGCCATCACGAACTAGGTTTTAGGTTGTCGGGATAAACTGGATATAAATTATAATTTGTACATGGTAAGCCTCCTAGTATATATATATAGGCTGGTGTTATGAGCAACAGGGACAAGTGGTCAGGGAAAATTATAGTGCTTATGGCTGCCGCAACGAAAGAGCAAAGTAGTAACTCTTCCTTTTCCCCATTGCCCTGAGGTTGCCAACTGTTTGACAAAACAATATTCCAAGATATTCAGATCCAGGTTAAGGAGTAGAGCACTATTCAGCCTAGTGGGAAGGTTGGGAAGCTGTCGTTTTCCTTTCTTTCATCTTAATAGGTGCATCAGAATTAGCAGTCTACACATTACCTACATTAGTAATAATAGGGACAAATGTATTTGCCATGCAAAAAACTATAAAAACTAATAGTTACTTTTTTCTGATGTCTTAAAACTAGGACACAAAATAGTCCCTGCAATACTTTCTTTCTCCTCCTGGGAGCTTCATGGAAAATGTCAGGGCTGCTCCCTAAGGAATGGGTTAAAGGAACTTATTATTGAAAGTAAACTCTGGGTCACTTTTCAACTCATTGCATCAGGCTGTTTTTGCTCCCCTGAGTAACCACTTTTCTAAGTCACATTGCATGCTTGGATTACCAGCAAGCCTTCTTTGGGGCAGAGAAGTTCTAATGTAAGTGCAAACAAGAGGTACTAAGCAATCAATTTTCTTGAATAAGTTATTGTAGCTTTTTTTTAAAATATGGGAAAGCTAACAGTATAGAAGTAGGAAACAAAGACAAAAGTGTTTCTAAAAGGCACAGATATTTAAAGATGAAAATTCAGAAATGGATAATCTTTCGATCCCCACGTTAATTGTTTGCATAGGTAACATTATGCAAAATCAATGCATTTCTATGGAACACAAGAATATATGTAGAGACATCCAGCAACTTATAAATGTGATGAACTAATTTTTAGCTTATGGGACACGCTGTCCCCTTCTCCAGTCCTAATGAAAATACATAAAGAAATTTAGAACATTTATTAGGAACTTACCACATTTTTCAGAGTATAAGACGTACCTTTTTCCCCTCAAAAAAGAGGGTGGAAATCTGGGTAAGTCTTATGCACTGAATACCGCATTTTTGGCCTACCGAAACCCCGCCCCTTTGCAAAAATGCCCTTTAGGAGACTTCCAGAGTGCTCCTGGGGATTGGGGAGGGCAAAACTGAGCGAAAAACAGGGCAATTTTTGCTCATTCCCCCCTCCCCATCCCCCAGGAGCACTCTACAAGCCTCCTAAAGGCTATGCATGCCCTTTTTGGAAAAAAAAAAAACCAGGCACATTTTCACAAAAAATGGGTCATTTTGGGGAGGTCTGCAGAGTGCAAACTCTTGCCTCTTTGCCTCTTCAAAATCTTGGTGCGTCTTATACTCTGGTGCATCTTATACTCCGAAAAATACAGTAATCCTTGATAATTGACCATACAGATTGGGATGAGTCCAGTGAAACAAACAATGACAATAGACTGAGGAAGCTGGGGGTCTGCATTTCCCGTTTTGAAAATTTCTGGGTAGTATATATCTGTAATAACGATAACCACCTCTATTTCTCTCATTGAAGGACAAACATAGATATACCAATTATTATTATTAGCATATGGCGCTGTTATAGTAGCCAGGAGACCCCCGATGTTATTGCAAAGTGCTAGTTTGGCTTGCCAAGGAATCAACCCTATTATAGGAAATGTGCTCTTCCCAAGATGTGCCACAGGAGGGCAAGCCGGCTTTACATTAGAGAGAAAGATGAGTGGCTCTTTTTCAGCTTCACCCAAGGGCTCCAACCTTTCTGGAGCTGCCTTGCAAATGCTACCGCATCTGGGAATGTTCAGAGCCATCAGGAATCTGACTGCCTGCACAGAGCACCAGCTTGTCTCCCCACCAAAATGGTACCTATTTTATCTACACGCATAGAACATGCTTTTGAATTGCAAGGTGGGCATAAGCTGAGGCAAGTGATGGGGGCTCACTCCACCACCCACTTGCTAGTACTCAAACTGCCAGAGCCGAGACCATCTCCATTGTCATTAAGCCATTGCGCTTCATAGATATACCAAAGGGAAATAATTTAGTGGATAAAACTTTGTGTTGATCTTGTAGGCATCTACATTTCAACTTCTGCAACGTGATTGCCTGGCTGCTGGTGAACTGAATAGTGGATGATAAGCCAAGGCAAAGATGATTAAAGCACAGTTCCAATTATACCACTGCTGGTGTGATCCACAAAACCATACAAGATACATTTGTGACTCCCCCTCCCCTTTATGTCAAGTCTCTGTTAAAGCCATATGGAGCAAACATCACTTTGCACAGACTCTAAGATAAGCAACTCATCATTCAGTTTCATTAAGGAAAAATGCCCTCTATGGTTTTAATCGAATCACAAATACATTCTGCAATCACTTTCCACAACTCATTGTCCTCTAGGTCAGTGATGGTGAACCTTTTTGGCACCGAGTGCCCAAACCGGAATGTGCATGAATGTGCGCGCACCACAGTGCTGGAAACCCGAAGACCAGCTGGCTGGCACATGTATGCCTTTTTTTAGGCTGTTTTTGGGCCATTTTGCGGGTCATTTTTAGGCTGTTTTTAGGACTGCTTTTGGCCTGAAAATGATCCCAAAAACCAGCTAGAAAACCGGTCTGTTATTTGGCTGTTTTGGGGCCATTTTCAGGCTGTTTTCCGGTGCTCTGGACCCCGCAAAGACCAGCTGTGCATGTGCGCACCGGAAATCAGAAGAGCAGCTGGCGATGGCGCATGTGCCTACAGAGAGGGCTCTGCGTGCCATCTCTGGCACACATGCCGTAGGTTCACCATCACGGCTCTAGGTGAGTTGTCATAAAATTCATATCGCACCCAGCCAGCAATGGACTAGAAAGTCTGGAATGACAATGCAATACACTGGGAGAACTCCCAGATGGAGGAGGCCATGGTGAAACCTACATTCATCTGTTCGTCTAAGTGTGTACGTGCAAGAAAAGTATGAGCTATTTATTGACAGGAGAGAGGAGAGGAAGAACCTCAGCTATGCGTTACCTTCAAAGCATCAGGTGTGTCCTCCAAGCAATATACTTTGAGATTGTATTCCAATGAGGTACAGAGGGTGGGAGCGAAGATGGCCAGCTGCAGTCTCTTTATGGCCGACCTAGAATAGGATTCTCCCACAAGGACGTACGTTCCAAGCTGTTCCAGCAGGATATGGCAGCACTTGGGTTCCAGCTGGCAGTAACAAGGTGTGTTTAAAGTCTCTTCATCTAGCGTCACAACTTCCTGGAGGAGGAAAGCGGAGTAAAGAAGAGATTAAAAACATTGTAAGTTCCACCTGGGTGCCTGTATTAACGAGTAACTACTTAAACATTTGCCTCCCCAATTACGAGAGCTGTACAAATTGGGTACCTTAAAAATAGAAAGGAATGAATGCAATAAGAAAAGCTAAAATGAAAACTTAAATTTTGGAGTTAAGCAAACTTTGTTGATTGACATGTCCTATATTTTGGAGATGGCAGTGGCTTTGCAAAATGCGGTCTATCGTGTTTTGAAGGGTTATGAATGTAGGAGTTTCCATCATTCTTATCTAAATTTTGAGTTGCTATGCCAGCAGGAAGTACCATAATTTTGGGAGTATAAGATGCACCTTCCCCCCCCAAAAGAATGTGACAATGTTGGTGTGTCTTATACACTGAATACAGTCATTTTTGCCCCCCTGAAGCCCCGCCCCCGCATCCCATATTAGCGAAAAACAAGTGTCAAACAGGCCATTTTTTGCAAAAACAGAGATGTTTTTTCAATCCCCAGCAGCACTCTGCAGGCTTCAGCAGGATTGAGGGAAGGCAAAAAGGCCTCCTTTTTTTTGCAAAAAACACCCCATTTTCAGCCCGTCTGCAGAGTGCTCCTGGCGGCCGAGGAGGACAAAAACTTTTTTTCCTTACCTCTTCAAAATCTTGGTGCGCCTTACACACTGGTGCGTCTTATAGTCCAAAACTATGGTATTAATATTACTAAATACATTGGTTTTAATGTTATTACCCAATATTATACTTTCTAGCCATACTTAATACTGCTGCATTAGAATAGAATAGAAATGCTGATCTTTTCTGAGTTGGCTTTACCAGATGTGGCAGGACTACAATCACCTTCATCCCTGAATATTGACCATGCTGGCTGAGGCAGTAGAAGACTGTTTTCTTCATAACTACAGGGGATCTAGAATTAGGAATAAAACTGCTAAATGCTAATACCAAAACCCGTGCCCTGTTTTGGGTGCCAGAGGCACAGTCTTTTGTTATAATCTAGCCCTATGGGCTAGATTTAAGCATCCCATAGGCTGGATCCAGAGTTGAGACGACTGGATGGAACTGAGCATTTATTGGCCGGATGCCCTTCCTGATGCCATGCGGAGTTTGCAGCAGATATTTTTTTCTTTGTGTCCTAGGAGATAAATATCTGCTGCTACTGAGGATTGAACTCTCAACCTGCTGAGTAGAAGATGAGTGTCTTCGCCACTAGACCACCATGCTGCTCGGAGAAGCAACATACATTGAACACTACAACTTCTTCTATAGGACTTCATTCCAATATCATCATCATCATCATCATCATCATCATCATCATCTACTTCTCTGGTTAATTCAGCTTACCTCCCAGTGTCCTTGGTGGGACTGGGTTTTCAACTGCAACATCCAGTCTGGGGAAGTGACCTCTGCACAATGTGGAACAGTCAAGATGACTGGGCGG